TGTCACAATTGCTATATTTGTCCTGCACACAGCCCTTCATCCTGTGGCCAGCGGTGGATAGGTTACAATCACTTAGTTACTACCTACAGTTAGCAAACAACCTTCAACTGTAGGTCTGATGAACGTACAGTTAATAAACTGGGGATATTTAGCTAAAATTTTTGGTAGCAGAACATTTTGAATGAAATATTTACACATTGTTGGAACATTGGTTATAGAATTGTCTCTGAATTCACGTATCTTTACGAACTCCATCACATAGTGACGCAGGGTGTAGGAATAATATTGTTGACACAGTTTACATTTGGTCAGGTCTACATCAGCAGATAATGAGAATTCCCAGAGATACTTGTAACTGAGTCTAAGCCGAGCAGTAGTAACATTTAGAAGTCTGCTGATTTTATTGGATGAACCATAGATGTGTGGCTCCTTACACAGAGAAATCCCAATAGCGTGATGCATCAAATGAACAAATCCACGGCACTTGAGGATTTGTTCATGTGTTGCTTTTGCATGATAGAATGATGATAGATGGAATTACTGGTGTCGATTTCACTTTCCCTCAGATTTACAAGATTTTGTTGAAGTTCTTGGTGTATTATTGCTCTCAGACTGCTCATTGACAATCTACGGTTACACTCAACGTCTCCTTTAAAGGCAGATTCTTAGGCTACCAACATGAGTACAAGAGATGAAACAGAAAGTCACGAGCTAGATTAATGTGATGAACGCTCCGATTAACGTCCATAAGGTGACGAGCTTTCAGAAGAAATACCTTCCTGTGATTGGCTGTTGCCGGGGATGCCAACCTCTTTTTATGAATAAAATGTTAATTAAGAAATACGTTCTTTGGCACTACAACCTTGTTGTTGGACACAGGATAAACAATTTCTGTTTTGTACCTGACATAAATTTCCATCTAACTGAATCATTTAGTGCATTAAGACGACGAAGCATCGTATCATCAATATTATTTGTGTAGAGGCAACACCCACTGGTGACGTCACAAGTTAGGTAGCCAGGCCGTGTTTATATAACACCTGTTATATCCTGCAATATTTAATTATTACTTTATTAAAACTTTTTAAATCATTAATACTTCACTTTTTGGGTAGATTAAAGTGAGATTAAAGTTAAGCAAGGTTGGTGTGCCGAACTAAGATGATTTATTATGTGGATGGCACCTTTAGCTGATTCCTTCCTGTGATTTGCTTGTGGCGAATGTCAACAAAGAGTTTCTACCAATAATATGCCAGTATTTCATTTATTATGCACCCCATACCCATCTGTGGGCGGAGCTTGGAACCTCCTACCCGAGCACAACAACCCGCTCATGGGTTGCTGTTTGGCTATTTATAGTGCACGGGGAAAGCAACAGATGGCGTTACTGGTATTTTGTAGGGTAATTTGTTATAGGTGTAATTTGATGTCAACAGAAAATGATTATTATAGAATTTTTATTGATTTACAAGGAGCTTTTGATAAAGCCAACAAAGAGGTTATTTTATATGAATTAGCTGGTCCTGGTGTTAAAGGGAGATGTTGAGTTGCTGTTGAGTATATGTAAGATATATGTAAGGTTTTGAGGCTAGGTAATGATGATAGAGTTAAAAGATACGAGCTAGATGGTGTTGAGATTGCGAAAGGTTTTATTATTAGAATTTAAACTAAAAAATAAATGCATATATGTTCAAAATAAGGCAAATAAGACGCTGATATTTATTAACATAGACAAGGATTTATTCCTAAAATATATTATTTTTTCAATGAAATGGGATTCTTGTACTGTGATTTGTGCCTTTGTACTCACTGAATTTGTGAGTTCCTTGACGGACTTGAAGAAGAGGGGGGCAGAAGTAGTCTAAGCTACTCTATCCCTTTAAGATGTATTTTTTCTTGTCTCAATAAACATACTTGAACTTGAACTTGAGAAGTCAACTCTCATATCAGAAGATATTTAGAAAAATAGTATAACTCCCTTACCATAAAACTCTATTACAAAATCCACTATGAGCTCTTTTCAATGGCAAAATTTAGCCATTTTGTGTAACAACTGTTATAATCTCATACATTTAATAATCATAGTAATCGAAATATTCATATTTTTTAATATACAAGAAAGCCATAAGCTAGATCTGTGTGTCGCTCCTGAGGACGACAATAAGGAGACGAACTTTTAGCAAATACCTTCCTGTGATTGGCTGTTGCTGGGAATGACAACACTCTTTCTATAAATTATATGCAAAATAAGAAATAAGTCTTTTTACAAAACAATCTCTTTATTTCAAACACAACGTCTTCGTTATGTACAAGACAGAAATTTCCATCTAACTGAATAATCGAGTTCAAAAGAGAACGGAGCATTGTATCATCGATATTATTTGTGTGAGGCAACTCCCACTGATGACGTCACAAGTCAGGTAGCCAGCCCATGTTTCTGTAACACTCGTTACATCCTGCAGTATTTAATTATCACTATATTAATGCTTATACATACTTAACCCTTCACTTTTTAGGTCGATTAAAGTTGAAACAGAATATCATAAGCAAGGATGGTGTGCTGAATAAAGATGATTTATTAAGTGGATGGAGCCTTTAGCTGATCCTTTTCTGTGATTGGCTGTTGTGTGAATGTCAACAAAGAGTTTCTACCAATGATATGCCATTTATTATGCACCCCATACCATCTGTGGGCGGAGCTTGGAACCTCCTACCCGAGCACAACAACCTGCCTTATGGGTTGCTGTTTGGCTATTTATAGTGCGTTGGGAAAAAACTAGATGGCGTTAGTTGTATTTTGTAGGGTAATTTGTTATAGGTGTAATTTGATGTCAACAGATGGCGTAAGCTGTATCTTATGGCCACTGTTGACCAGCTAGTTGATAGTGTTCTCTTCTGCCGACAGATGGCATCAGCTGTGTTATTATTACTTCCGAATTCCCTTTTAATCATTGATCTACAAATCCCTTGGCTTATGATAAGGTTTTATACCATTTATGATAAGTATTAGAAAACTGGAGTTCCGCAATTACTTTTATTTATCAACTGTTCAGGATATCATCATATAACGTCTGGTTAGGGCGTACTGCTCTCGATTGATGAAGATTAAGCCACCCAAGAGGTGGCACGGGCATGAATAGCCCGTAAATACTGCTCTCGTAATATATATATATATATATATATATATATATATATATATATATATATATATATATATATATATATATATATATATATATATATTCAATTTCTTTCTTTATTATGCACCCATCCCGTGGGCGGTGGTATAAAGGATTACAGAGACACATATCGGTTCAGGAACTGAACCCTCTAGTTCGTTTAGCTAAGCAAATAACAATTTTTGACGCTAGTTACAAAATTATTAATGTTATATATACATGTACACACTCTCATACATACATGTACATATATATATACGTATTCATATATACATACACATACATATCTAATCACCCACACAAATACACACATCAATAATCTTTTGTGTCACAAGTGATCAACATGAGGCTCACAATAGTCACTATACAAAAAACATCTTATATATATATATATATGTCGTACCTAGTAGCCAGAACGCACTTCTCGGCCTACTATGCAAGGCCCGATTTGCCTAATAAGCCACGTTTTCATGAATTAATTGTTTTTCGACTACCTAACCTACCTAACCTAACCTAACCTAACTTTTTCGGCTACCTAACCTTACCTAACCTATAAAGATAGGTTAGGTTAGGTTAGGTAGGGATGGTTAGGTTCGGTCATATATCTACGTTTATTTTAACTCCAATACAAACAAAATTGACCTCATACATAATGAAATGGGTAGCTTTATCATTTCATAAGAAAAAAATTTGAGAAAATATATTAATTCTGGAAAACTTGGCTTATTAGGCAAATTGCGCCTTGCATAGTAGGCGGAGAAGTGCGTTCTGGCTACTAGGTACGACATATATATATATATATATATATATATATATATATATATATATATGTCGTACCTAATAGCCAGAACGCACTTCTCAGCCTACTATTCAAAGCCCGATTTGCCTAATAAGCCAAGTTTTCATGAATTAATGTTTTTTCGTCTACCTAACCTACCTAACCTAACCTAACCTAGCTTTTTTTGGCTACCTAACCTAACCTTACCTATAAATATAGGTTAGGTTAGGTTAGGTAGGGTTGGTTAGGTTCGGTCATATATCTACGTTAATTTTAACTCCAATAAAAAAAAATTGACCTCATACATAGAGAAAAGGGTTGCTTTATCATTTCATAAGAAAAAAATTATAGTAAATATATTAATTCGGGAAAACTTGGCTTATTAGGCAAATCGGGCCTTGAATAGTAGGCTGAGAAGTGAGTTCTGGCTACTAGGTACGACATATATATATATATATATATGTCGTACCTAGTAGCCAGAACTCACTTCTCAGCCTACTATGCGCGGCCCAATTTGCCTAATAAGCCAAGTTTTCCTGAATTAATATATTTTCTCTAATTTTTTTCTTATGAAATGATAAAGCTACCCATTTCATTATGTATGAGGTCAATTGTTTTTTATTGGAGATAAAATTAGAGTAGATATATGACCGAACCTAACCAACCCTACCTAACCTAACCTAACCTATCTTTATAGGTTAAGTTAGGTTAGGTAGCCGAAAAAGTTAGGTTAGGTTAGGTTAGGTAGGTTAGGTAGTCGAAAAACAATTAATTCATGAAAACTTGGCTTATTAGGCAAATCGGGCCTTGCATAGTAGGCTGAGTAGTGAGTTCTGGCTACTAGGTACGACATATATATATATAATATTAATATAACAATTAACATCGTGTAGTGTACTCTATATATCAAAATATATTTGAAACCCGTATCATTCACTCCAAAAAAAATTGGGCTAATTTTATTACAAATTCGCTACTTTTAGACCGTCAGCTCGCTACTTTCAGCAATTTGGACCTGGCAACTCTGGTGCGACCAGCAGTCACGTCATTCAGGCTGCGGCTGGCAGACAGGACGGACGTGCTGTGCCTCACTCCCTCTCCTCCCTCACTATTACACCCATTTCCATGCGGCATATTTGTCGTGTGCGACGAGGTCACTGCTTCGTAGTGTAGAAAAGTAAACGAGGAGTGAATACTGGCTGTGGGGGACGTCCTGTGTTGTGTAAGACGGAAACTCACGTACTCGAGGCCCTGAAGGTTATGTGGTGAAAGTAACTGTTGAAGGGAATAATATATTGAGAGGACATGTGTTTAGTTCTCGGGTGTTAGTGTACAGTTGAACACGTGTAGAGGAGTATGGCGGTAGTGGTGCGGTGTGTGCCTGGTGGAGGGGTGTACTGGCGTGGCCGCAGGAGGGCGTGCGGCCTCACACTACGCACGGCCTCCTTCCTCAGCTCGGACAGGGTCGAGTACCGAGCCACACACACCTCCGAGAGGGAGAGGGCCAGGACCGTCGCCGCCTACTACAACCAGCCAGCCATAGAAGCAGCAGCCCAGAAGGTCAGTGTCTGAGGACCACTTCGTACCCACCAGGTTAACAACCTCGGTTGTGAACACATCCACAAGGGCCGTGATGAGGGTTCGAACCTCGGGTACAAACCTTACAAAAAAAAGTATATTAATAATAATTTAAGGTCAAATTTGTGTAGGCCCAAATTGGCTGGGTTAAGCTTTGAAATTGTAATGCAGATGAGTTGCATCTGAGCAGCCAAAATGTCCCTAGTCAACTCGTCAGCAGATTATGAAAATAATGGTAGGCTGCTTGTCCCCGTCAAAACTATGTATATAATTCATACTTTAGGCTTATTTACCAAAGGCCCACTAACACTTTAGTGATCTCGACGAGAACAGGAAGCCGGTGGCTTGTCAAAGGACCTCCCCTACATTTGGCGTGATTTTGTTCTACCTGATTTTTTTTTTTTTTTTAATTTACGTTTTGGCAACCACCCAACACTTGACTAGCTCTTGGGTACGCATTTACTGAGATGTGAACAAAGGCATTAGGTGACGTGAGGGATGGTCAAATTATATTCAGGCTTCTTGAAGTGTTCTGTACAACAATTTTTCACATTGTTTCGTATTTCTGAAGCATTTCGTACACATTATATTTGCATTTGATTACATTCTCTATTCTTGCTTGACAGAATTACTCTACCTGGAGAAAAACATTGATTTATTACTCAATACAGTACTGGTAAAGTTAATTTTAAGATGTGAATACATTTTATTAATGGGGGTCAATACTAAAAGAAAAGTAAGCAAGTATATTTGAATTGTTAAAGAAATTTATGAATGATTTAAATTTAATGATGAAAAGCATCGACTCCTTGTCAAATCATCACGGTCCCCAACCATTTCGGATTTAAATCAAATTTGGTAGGATGTTAAAGTACAGTACTGTACTGTAGTGTACATAAAGTAACATTCATATACAAAATTTTAGGCCTCAGTGATTCATGATGTACAGAAGGATTGCCAATGTGATAAAAGAAAACATTTTTGCATAAAAGTTCAACAAAAATAATTCATAATCTTGCTTGTAATAGAGGTATAGTAGTACCTTCATGTTGGGCTTGTTTGAAGCTAAGCAAATATTTCATTAAAAAATGGTTTTATAATAAATAATTTGTTGGGAAAAAATGTTGAGTTAAATGTACAGTACCTGTATTCTCTATGGTATAGGTTCCATTTTGGGAAGGCTTTGGGAACATGTGTGAAAATAGTGTAATAGTGTACATGTATAGGGATGTAGTAGTTATAACACTTCTTGCAGCAAATGTGCATCAGGCAAGTTCACACTTGTCTGACAGTATCTTTCTCTGTGTACTCAGCAGGATTGTCAATTTAGCTCCTTTTTGAATTAAATTTAGCTCTTTATTATTTTTGGTACATTTAGCTTCAGTTCTTTCACACTGAGCCAATTTACAATCAAATTCTGTGCACAGTTATCGAAGCTGACATGTGGATGACAGTTTTGTGTGTTCAGAGTCGAACTAAGCTTCAACTTTAATCTTTAGCTTTATTTTTTTTTTTAGTTCCTATTGTTAACAAATGTCACCGTTTTCAAAGATTTTCATTTGGTATCACAGCGCCTAAGTCTTGGTAGAACTTCTATAGTGTGGATAACTGGTGCAGTATATTGGACAGATGCATCTGTGAGTAGTGATAATAGCATGTGACAATGGATAAGAGTTCATGTAGACAATGCTGCAACCCCATTTCATATTAAAGGGCACAGCAGCTGTAGAAAACAATTAAGGAAGATGCTATCTTAGATGATAGAAAAACTGCCACATGTGAATAGTGAACAAATAATATGGGACAATTGTAGAAAAGACATTAAAAGGGATTCTGTTAGTGAGGAAGGTTCAAGCACATCAGTTGATGAAGAAAGTGACATGGAGGTGGACACATACTGGACCAAATCACCTTTGCAATCATTAAATGAAAGTCTTAAGTACTTTAGTATTGGAATATCATCTATCAAGAGGAAGAAATAAAGGAATATGTTAAGGAAAAACTACTAAAATTGCAGTTGTTGTAAAAGAAGAGATATTCCACATGTCTGCTGAAGAACCTGTGCTTAATAATCAAGGTTATGATACTATACTGTAACAACTGAAAGGAAAGTTTGAAGAAACCACAATGGTAGGTGGTTACAATCTTGACACTTCCTGAAGACTGGCATATCAAAATAGAGCAAGAATTTCCTCAGTCAAGTAACTACATGATGGCATAAAGCTAAGAAATTGGTAAGAGAGTTAGGGCTTTTGTCATCACCCAATCCAAATCCAAGGAGGAGCTTGGACTTGCTGAGATGGTGAAGAACTTTTTCTGCAATGAAGTCAGCAGAATTATGCCTGGCAAGGACTGTGATGGTTAGAAAAGATGGTGCAAAAGACTTGAGAATGGTCCAGGATGGACCGAAACGTCAGCGTCCCTTCATTTTCTAGTGTGGATTGGTCAACATGGTGCAAAAGAGCTCATACAAAAGAGGCTAGTCTTAAATAATCTTGCAGAAATGTATGATCACTTCCAATGGTCACATCCTGGTGTAAAGATTGTTTTTTTAAAAATTGCCTCTGCATCCTAAACATTGTGTTGGGAGCAAGTTGTGTACACTATTTTTGCTTTACATCAGAATGTGAAATTGTTAATGAAAGAGTGCAAGTTGAACAAATGCAAGACCTGGATATTCACTTATCCACTTACCACCACTATCTGGTGAATATGAAGTACTGTACTACACAATCCACCCAAAATAGAATATTCAACAGGGTGGTAAATGTGCAGGATCTAATGCTATAAAGAGCATAATGGAAAATGTGCTAGAAAGGAATGCCATTGAAAATGTTGCCTTTTAAACAGTGGCTCACTGTATTTCACTGATATACATACTTGAGACAATTGTCAAGCCCACTGAAGAATTGGAGTAATTCATTTCTAAGTTAATGCAATTTTAATTGTGCTATTTTATTGCCATTCAGCAATCATCATATTTAAAAAGCTGGAAAGATGATATGGAGAGTGGAGAAATTGTGTTGAATGACCTTACTGAAAATTATTTTTTATTAAGAGATGTATGGTTTCCACTGGAATAATGCCCAAGCCACCATTCATCAATTTACCATTTATTTCAGAGAAACACCAGCAGGGAAATTGTCATTTACAAACTTGGCAGTTATTAAAGCAGCCCATCCTCTCGAGTATTCATGGCATCACTAAACTGATGTACAGTACTAAATTGCCCAAACCTGACAGAAAACCCATGAATAGAAAACCAGAAGTGTAAATTTAGCTAGCCACTATTATTTTTAGTACACGCATTTTTGGCCTTAGGGGAATTTAATGCCAAAATACAATGCACTGTTTGAGAGGATGGGTTAATTTCAGACAGTTTGCAATACAGTTCAAAGTCTGTACTGTACACAAATTTCAAAAGCATCTCATTCAATTTCTAAAACAATGTTCAAAATGTTTTATAAACTGTACATGATATGTACCTTGTCCATCTCCCCCCCCTTTCCAATATAACCACACTCACTGTGCCAGCTACTGAAGCGCCACTGCTAGCAACACATGGTCAGTGCCCTTCAGCCAGCTGGTTGTCGGTGATGGACAAACGTGCTTTCTTAAAAGCTGCAATATACTTTGCAACATATTTTTTGACCATTATTAAAATTATCCATGCAATGATTGATTATTTTGAATACCTTAAATATAATTTCAATAAAACATTTCCATAAAGGTAACATTCCTACCAGACTATAAAAGGTGGTGTCATCAGTTACACTATACTGTAGTTGATAATGGTACAGGACAAACCAAAACGTCGTTGTTTCTCCATTTTATGATGTGTGGTTTGGTTATCAGATGTCACTTTCTTACTGTATTTACATTTGTCTTAATTTTTGCTTACCATTCTTAGCAACCACTCATCAGCTATCACGGCTAGGTCAACACATTTCCTCAGTCTTCATGTGCTGTAATTTCAAGTTTCTTCTGAAAGTTACACAGGGAATACATTAATTTCAAAGTATTGATGGTCATGTACACTGAATATCTGCTTATACAGACAAGATATGGCAAGACATGTATTCTAGTACAGTTCATGCTACACAGTACACTATATAGTTATGTTTAATGCATGTGCATTAAAATCTTTTTAAAATGTCCATAATGCAAAACCTCGTGATTATCTGTTTTTTCGTACTCTCCTGATGGGATGAATTTTGCATGGAAAGGGAAGTGAAGGGGGTTGAGTGTTGTTCTGACCCTATTGGAGAGTTCTTCATCCCATTTGCTCATTCCTCATAATGATGCATATAAAGACAAATATTTTTTTAAATTCTAATTCATTTCATAAACAAAGTTATACTCGTAATTTTACGTAATTTAGCTCGTTTTCCGTTCTTGAAAACGGGGTCGGTGGCAGTGGGCTACAATTATCATAGGCTTTGTATTTAATTACCAAAATTACTTGATGTAATATTTCAACTTTAACTTTACCTTTGAGAAGAGTGTGATGTCTACCGGACCCTAATTGGCAGCTGAAGTTTTGACTCCCATTATAGCGTCGTGACGTGAATGACCGGAGATAAATGTTAAGGTGACACGTATGACATTGAAGTATGACATTGCACCTTAACACCTGTGCACCCCACTGCCAGTTAAATGTTGCAAGACATGTACCTCATGCATTGTACATGTTCCTTATTGTACCTGACAACATTGTGATAAATTTGTTAGTGTTTCTAAGAACAGTATGTTGAATTTTGTATTCAAGAATGTTCATGCTTGTATGTGTCTGTAAAGTTTTCCCGCGTGTTTTCGTGTGTGGGGGGTCCTTGGCCACCCCCCCCCCACCCCCGAGTAACAACATAATGACAGAAGAGCTCGACTTAACCCACAGACGGTGTGAGGTACGCTCTTGGGGCGTCCACCTCACTCTTGTGAGGTTGTTATAGTCAATCCGGTGGGCGAGAAGTTATTTTCTGTTA